TCTAAATCGATTCTGAAGTATGTTAAAGTTTTGTTCTATAAAACATTAACATTTCAGATTTTGTTTATTTGGTTTACACAATTTTTAAAAATTTTTATTTTTATTGACTTTGCTTACAATTGATACTAAATCTAAGCTTGTATTATAATTACACTAGTAATAATAAAATATTTTTAGCTTAAATTTCTGATCACATTGCTGTCTTATTAATTAACCTTACCGTTATAGTTCAGATCTATTTTTAATCTTAATGTTCTTCTAATTTAACTTTACTTTTTTTCCTGATTCTATGAACTACTAACTAATAAGAAATTAAAGAGGAAAAAAATATGTTTTTTTTTCCCGTAATTTATTATTAAATTCTAGTTTCAAGTTTCAATTTTAATTCTATTTCATTTATCAAATATTTCGCTACATAATAAACTCATTTCATATAGACTAATACTTTTAAGAAAAATAAAGGAAGAAAATAATTTAATATTAGTTTTATAAAAATATCTTCATAATTTCTCTCACAAATTAATTAAATACTAGTCATAAATTTACATATTAAGCTTATTTAAGAAGGTGAAAAACCTCATTCAATATTCAAATAAAGAGCTTATTGCAATACCAGATGAAACTTCCCCGTAAGGTTGATTAAAAAACTGTAATTAGGTAGGTTTTTAAAATAATTTGCAAATATATATTCAACTCGTAATTAGGACGAAATTATGCAAACTTTAAGAACGGATGTTTTTCAAAGCTCAGTTTAAATTACGAGGTCGAAAATAAGAGGATATGCAACCTATATTAAACCTATATCTACTGTATATACTTTTCAAAGAACTCCAAGCAGAAAACGTTTAAAATTAAATAGATATTAATAATATATTTTTTTAATAAGCTAAAAAGTTGACTTGTCTTTAATTCGGTTATAAAAATATTCTTATTAGCGAGCAGTTTTAAGAAACGACCTTAAACGTCACTCAAATCGACTCCACAAAAACTGGCGCCCGTAACAGTATACTATCAATACGTACTATCAAAAAGAATCGAGGATAATTATCGGCCATTATAAGATCAAACTCTTTATTAAAGTTAAATCTTAATCCAATCACGTATTGGTCTCCAAAAGCTTTTGTTCGGGAACAAAGTAGAGTGCGTATTAAATATTTACTTAATGTCGAAACAGCTTTGTCACGGTCGGCCATTATTCAAACACTCTTAAGAAATATCGGAGAATGCACACGGCTTTTATATGGAGTCGAAGCAACAATGGGGTCGGAGTGCCACCAAATAATACCGGGGAACCCGATACAAAGGATTACTGTGTTTGCTCTGAACGACACTTAGGGAAACACGAAAGGATGTTCACTGTCATAACGTAAAACAACCGCTAGTTAGGCCACGTGATTTATAACGCTGGCTGGACAAAGTGAAGTTTAAGACTGTCGTAAAGCACAGCCGATTGTGACGCTCCGAGATTTATAGACACCGCTCCCTGTCGAGGTTTCTGCGCCCGCGGGAACTGCTCTTCCCCTTCGCCATACCTATCACGTGGCCGACTTAATTAATTAATTTGACTATAAATAAATTTAGAAGGCCATCGAGAGCCCTTCTTCCACTTAACTACCGTTACGAAATACAGTTAAGTATCGTCGACTCTCGCCCCGTCTCCCTTAAAGTAGATTGTAAAAAGGGTGGTGGATAAACGTATTAGTTACTATTGTCAAACATGTTAACGCTGTAATCTAAATAATGTATTTGAGATTTTCTCAAGAAGATCAAAAAACGTTAGCGTAACATTAACAAAAGTGCTGTAGTAACGGAAAGGCCTAAGTCATTTGTATGTATCGATTATGATCAGTGTTAACGCGAGGGTCTCTCCGTTTGATATTTCCATCAGTTATGTTAAATGATTAATGTCCTAAAAAAAGACAACCGCATTTATCATCGTCATTTAATAAGTGTGGCGAGGATTAATAACAATACGAAAGTTCAAATAGAGCACGAACTTACACTTTCGTGCCCTTGCGCTCATAATCTTTAGGATTAACAATCATAGATGTACTGTACAGTGAGGAAAATAGCGTAAAAAACCTATTTATCAATTCTCGGCACGGTTTTATAATTAGAACTCCGGGTCAAGATCTTCGTTAATTACCATTTTCGTTGTGGCCTACTTGATTTTGCAAGCTAAAAATTTATAAGAAGTTTATACATAAATATTGATCTTTTTAATGAAAAATTCAAAATTCACAACGAGTTTTAGCAATAAATTACTTAATCTCGGGTCAAATTGTAGAAATGAATTATTAAATTTAATGGGAATTTTCAGTATATATAAAAATTCATGACCTATTTGAACTCTATAATTGTTTTTTAATTGGCCTATTTTATATTGCAATTTTGCCATTTATTAAAATATTTCGGAAGAATTTCGAAATCACTCGATAAAAATAGTTTATACTTTATCTTAAGCTCCATTTAACATACGTATTTTTTTCACGGAGTTTAATTAACACCCTTTAATTCACCAACGGTAACAATAGTAGTTAATGCGAGTTGACGAACAAAAGACCTTTTTTTCGTCCTTTTTTCGGTATCGTTTCTGTCTGAAACCATCGACCGAAGATATTTTCTATCACAACACAAGCAAGCACTTTTAATGTCACTAACGACTGAAAAATAAACCTCGATCAATCTCAGAAAAGAAATTTTTCTCCTGTTAAAAAAAAAGAGATAAAAGAAATATGAAAAGTGATAACTATTAAATAGAATATCGAACACGCTTTTCTCAAACTGTTTACAACTGACAATTTTTAATTCAAGAATTTCTTTCGTTAAATTCGTAATGTCTTTCTTTTTTTTGTTATTTTCTGAAGTTTCTTTTCTTGTCATAAGAGATATTTTCTTGTAGTGAAGGTGTTTACTTCGATGTCAAATTGTAGTCGATGTCACTGGGGGACACATTGGCTCCGCGGGATTGCTTATCCCTTAATTGTTCTCATATCGGCATCCTTTTTTTCAAAAGAAACATTTAAAGGATTCACGCGCTTCCGGAATTTATTAAAAGAGTTATCACTTAGCTTATCTTTTCTCAGTTTTATCTCTCAAAGTAAATCTTATTCGTCAAATCATTTGAGTTCCTTACTAAGTAGGCTATTATCTCTCAGAAGAATTCTATATTGAATTTTGGTACTTGCTGACGAAGGATTAGGAAAAATCATTTAAGAGCTGCAAGTACTTCACTCCATTAAACATAATATTAAAAAACAAACTGTTTTACTTAAAACTTTATAGATGAGACTCTTTTAGTTTGATAGTTTTAGTAGAAATTAGCCTGAAGGTGATTTATCACTCTGTGTATATAATAGCATCGTGCATTGATACGTAGAATGACATTTCATCTCCAGGCTAAATTCTTCAGTTTACCAAGCTATTTATTAAGTTTAAGTATAAATTTTTGTTTTTGAAATTACATTAATAAGTTCTAAAATAATTTCTAAAGTAAGAAAATATTATAAAGCAAATATATAAATATATATATATATTGTATAAATTTAAATAATTTACCATTCCATTTATTTTCTTTTGATTAACATTTCATGTAATTGTTTAAAGGAAGAAAAATAATTGAAATCATAAATTGCAACACAGAAGTTATTACAAATACATTATTTTAAATCAAAGAAATACTAATGCTGTCTTTCGATATTTGAAATGAATCTTTTCTTCGGATGTGTTGAATTTGTCTTAAGCCATTAAGTTACAAATAATAATAAAATCTTAGGTCTGAAACGTAAACTGCTTAAAATTCTTTCAAAGTACTAATGAAGACAAATGATTGCGAGATAGAGCAACACAAACGTTGGTTTAGAATTTTTCATTCTCCTCTTTAGTTGGAAACCTCCCAATACTGCTTAATGATTCTTAATTCTTCTGTCGAGAAGCAAAAGAACAATGACTTTTCGTGCTAAAAAGATTTTGTTTGCATTTCTACGCCCACGAGACATTATAATTGATTTATTTCTATTTTTGAATATTTACAGATCTGAACGAGATTTTTTAAAATTCTTAGCTTCAAATTTCTTCTTTTTTCTTTTTCTAGATACTAAATTATTCTTAACATTAGAAGTTTTGTTTCTTAAACTAAACAGGTGCAAATAAAAAGGGTTTAAATCGGATTCGATGATAACTCATCGCGTTTTAATTCGGTTATAAGAGGTTTATCTTTTGTGCTTTTGTGGTTGGGTCACAAGACTAATCTTATCTATCAATAATTCATAGAATACAGGAAATGGATTTGCCTTACATTCAATAGATGAGAATATAATTAGATTGAACTTATACTCCTGAAAGAGACATGAAAGAAAAGAAGTGCACTTCCCACGAAGCGGGGGAGGAGGAGGAAAATCCAGGGTTTTGACAGCTGCACAACCCCAATCCTACAAGGGGAAGAACCAAGCCCTCTACTCTCGAACGCCCCGCCCCGAGAAGCTTAGGTAAACTACGAGGGATGGGCGTAAGTCCATCCAACATCTGCTTTCTACAACAGACCGTGTAATGTAGAATAATGGGAGCTTCTGTGCACAACCAACTATTTTGTTTCTGACTGTGGGAATCCGCACGCATTCTCGCTAATATTAAATGCCCTGCTCCTCCACTCCTCAGGTACCATCATCGCTACGCTCTCCGTTTAGCCGAGCAATAAAATCTCCCCAAATGCATGGATACCCGCTTTTCCTCCAGGAGAAGTAAAGCCACTGCATAGCTCTCGTGCCATTTAGCGAGTTAAAATAAAGGTTAAAGACCATTCAAGAAAATATATCCGAAATTTTTTAAAATATCTTGCATTCGGGTTAGTATATAATTTTCGTGAATAGCCTAAGAACCTGTAGGAAAACTGATTGAAAATATGAATTGTTTTTCTATTGCAAACAAATTAACAAGAAAATTATAAAAATAATATTGAGAATAAATAGAATAAAAATTAAGAATAACTCTTTCTGTTTCAGGAGAGAAGCCCTTTAAATGCGAGTTCGAAGGTTGCGACAGGAGGTTTGCTAATAGCTCAGACAGGAAGAAACATTCACACGTCCACACAAGTGACAAACCTTATAACTGTAAAATTCGTGGTTGTGACAAAAGTTACACTCATCCCAGTTCTCTACGGAAGCATATGAAGGTTCACGGAAAATCTCCTCCGCCGCCAGGCTCGACTCCCGGACCCGTAGGAAGTAGCGCCAGTAGCACGGGTTCGGGTTACGAGAGTGACGGCGGTACGGGTTCGAACATTGGAAGAGTTCAACAGGTCAACCCGGCGGTCGGGCCGGCCTCTGTAGCACTAACTTTAACCGGCCACCATCCTGCTTTGGCGGGAGCCGGACACCACCCCACGAACCTGAGCGAGTGGTACGTATGTCAGTCGTCGGCAGGGATGCCCACTCCACCCAGCAACGAACACTCGCCCGTAGGAGGACTTATACCCCATCCGCTACATTCTGTTACCACCGCTTATTAGGAAAGTGTGTACATAATCGAGCAACGTGGAGACTGGGTAAATGCCCCGAGAAGCGTTCTGGTCGGAGAGAGAGAGAGTAGTGTGTTGATAAGGGACCAGAGGGGCGTTACCCGAAGCGCGGCAGACTGCATCCCGGAGCTGCTATAGTCCGTCCTGTATTGATCCCGAAAGACGGGAGGGACATTCCCGCACCCGTGCGGGTCACTCTGTACAAACAATAAATGATGCGAACCCATTGCGTCGATATTATTGTAACATATCTGGGGCTTTCCAGAACCTGTAAAAGTTTTTAAATTAATTGTAGGTAAATCCCGACTGGGTCTGAACGACCTTCATTAAATAAAATACGTACAATATTGTGTGTTGTTGTTGACATTAAACAGAATATTTTGTGTTTTTATTTTATTTATTCCACTACATTACCTTTTTACAATGTTATCAAAACTTCCATCTACGATTTTTCTAAGCAAATTTAACATTAGATAGAATTAAATTGATATTGATCTTAAACGATTATGCGTGTTTTTGTAAATAGTTCTCACTTGCTATTGAAATTGTCTGAGGATAGAAAGGAGAGGAGAGTAACGGAAGAGAGTAAAAACCAAATGTAGAAGCAATTAATTGTAACGGTAATTAAACACAGACTGATGTTAAGTATTCATGACAGTCGCACTCTACAATCGGTGTTGTCCGTCTGGATTGCAAATCTTCCACCCCCGCCCATCCCTTGTTTCAGTTCTTCACTTTGATCTGTTCGAATTACAGAATGAATCGTCCTTTTTTCGCGAATCGAAGGCGTCAAGTTTCTTATCGCAACTCCTTTCCTTTTCTCATTATGCAATGACAGTCCATTAGTCACTTTGCAGTTTCGAAAGTTACAACATTTTCCGAAATTGATACCATAACAGTACGAAACAGAACAAGGGAGGACTCGAATAACCATGCATTCTAATCCTATCTCTTTTTACCATTCGGTATTACAACCTTTCCAGTAATCTTATTATTTTTTTTTAACATAGTTTTCATATAGTAATGGCGTTTATGCTGAATATATTCTAATCAATAGTAACAAACTTCATACATCAGGTATTCGAATTTATCTAGACCTCACACATCTTTCTAATGATAGATACAAAAATGGCATAAGAGATAAGATATACTTCAGAAGATTAAGATTCAATTACTGAACAAATGACATCAATTATTCAACTAATTATCTTTTCAATTGATCTGTCTAGCTGATGCTTCTCCTCCAGAGTAAAACTGGTTTGGGATGATTAGTTGTATTGTCAACTGGATTTTTAAAATCATCATCTGTGTGCTAATACGAAAAATAATTCTCTAGAAATCCTTATTTGGAATATGGAATAATAGATACAATCTGTATTGTTTAAGAGAAAAATCTGTAATATTCATGCTAGTCGATTCTTTACAGGACTGTTAAACGATGAATGTTTGTCCACAGCCTTGTACTAAACCCAGACCGACAATGATTAATGCCACTCACTTCCTCTGCATCCACAATAGTTCTTTCTTCCTGTGACGTCATGGCTTTGCTTGAATGATTTCTTCCATAAAATTACACCTTCCTATGCGTTCTTGCCATTTAATTCCGCCATATTAATTAGTTTACGTTGTATGACCCCGACTGAATCCTGTTTTTTCTATCGCAGTTAATAAAGCAATGTGTTTTTTTTCCTATAAACTTTCACTCGATAATAATTTCAAATTATTAGAAATACAATATATATTTTTCCAAAGTTTATTCCATTAATTTTTAGTTACTTTTGTCCCTTTTTAAAATTAGTTTCTCGGGCTATTCTACCATACATTTTAATTCTCATAATTAATAGTTTCTTTAAATGAGTGTGTGTATATATATATATATAGTGCTTTGTTATTGAGTTTGTTTTTCTTGAGACAATTCGCAATATATTTTAGCCTGTCAGTAGGTCATAGTAATTAAATATTGCCGCATGATCGACCATCCATGTATGACTTCCATACGTGAGTTATAGCTCGTTTTGGAAACAAACAAGATTTAAATAAATTTCTACGAGGACTTTTATATGAAATATCTAATGAAGTCTTTATTTTCAACAATATTACATACCATGTAAATTATACAGAATGAATTTTCTCATTAAGCTTTACATTAGTAGTAGTTTCTGGCTCATTCATCTTGCACTTTCACAAATTGAGAAAGTTTACTTCGAATCTGTTTACTGTATAATAAATTAGAGGCTGTTACTAATCCAATTATAACAAGTGATTAGCGGCTATTTAAAGTGAAACATGACGTTTGTTATATGAAGATATGTCGTTCTTCATTATTTAATTGATATTCTTTTATTCATTTAAAAAAAAATAAGATTGAATTTATATTAGAGTTGAGAGGTTTTAGGAGGAAACGTAAACGTTTTATTTGAATATTTTGTCAGAAGTGTTTTTTGACACGTAATGCTAGTCTGTGAGAAATGTTGATGTTATTTAAGTTAGTTCTCTCTCTCTCGGTGGTTGTGAGAGACCACCATCTATAAAACAAAGCGGTTTATGGGCCTTTTCAACAACGTCTTTCTACCATTCTATTGTGATAGATCGCGTAAGTCATTGCCTAAGCCTATTTCTCGGACTGTGGCCAAGCCGTTTTCTATGCCCATCTAAGCCTCTGGAATAATAAATCACCAACTGCCAAAGAGGGCAAGTCTTAGGAGGAACTGTTAACTTTCTGCTTTCCATTGTCTTCACTTTCTGATGGGTGGATGAAGGTTTCGAGACAAGTGTTAACTAGCGACCCTAGAGGTTAACACTCCCACCAATTTGTCTTCTTCTGCCGTAAATGTACGGTATTTATTGCCATTGATTGATTAACAGAAACAAAGTATAATAGAATAATGTCTTAACAACCCCAAATTATCGTTGGAATACATTTTGGTCCGATATGGTCAAGATTTTTAACGAGATCGTAAAATTCAGGATATTGTTTTACTACTTGATTTTTTCGTAGGTTAAATTTTTCATTCATATAATGAATTATATACAAATAAATTTTATAAATATTAACAATTATTTAAATCTAATAAAATAGTTCGTATCATAACAGAAATTTTTGGCCAATCTACATTGTTTTGTTTCGATAGATTCAATTAATAAATACTAAGAAAATATCCCTAAACATCTGTTCGTAAATAAAGCAAAGGTTTTTATCACAGCATAACGTAAGCCGAAATTAATTTTATATAAAGTAAGTTTCGAAAACGTATTGGAGATGATAGAAAAATTTTTAATAAGAAAAAAGTTTGGCAGCGGTTAATGAGTGCGAAAGTGGCTGGCTTTATTGATAAAAAGTTGAAAAATATTCATTTAGAGGAAAGGTAAACAATTTTGAAAAGAATTTTTCCCTGATGTTATCTTTCATTCACCTTTTCAACTTTTTCCCCAGAAACATCTTTTGTGAAATTTCAACGAAAGTGCCAATGTTCAACGTGTGCCGACACAAGGTATTCACGCAGATTCTTTTTTTATTTCCTTTTCTACCGTTTATACCGAGATTCTAACGAAGTTGCACACAGCGGGAGATAGCAGGGAATAAATTCGACAAAGAAATTACTTGCAAATGTTATTCCACTTGCGCTTTCAAAACTAACAAAGTGTCGCATTTTTCCATAACAGTTTTAATAACATTTATGGTATAGCTGAAGAATAGTAAGCAAATGTATTATTTCTTTCTCTCTCTCTCCCTCTCTTTCAAAACTTTGCTATGATATAAACACTTTGACCTTAATCTCACAATTTATTGTAATATGTTAGCACAAATAATCATATTTTTAAGTTGGGTTTATGGTTTTTGAGACTTCAAAAGCTGTTGATAGGAAGAAAGAAAGTGAAAAAAAAATTTTAAAGAAGAAAAAAAAGGACTAGCTCCCTTATATAGATTAAATACAAGCTGAAGAGATGAGCAATCTTGCTCGTTATTCGGTACGAGTCTAAATGCCATTTTTAGATCCTAAATATAGCATGGAGTGAAACGAAAGTTTAAATAAATCGTCCCTTTTCAGTTCCTTTTAAATAAGGAATTTTTACTTCATTTCTTTTCTTTAATGAAATATTAAATACGAAATAGAATTAACCACTATAGAATACAATTTTTAAATTAGCAAAAAAAAAAAAATAAATAAATAAATGCTACCGTCAAAAAGACGTCGATTTAATAAAGTGTTCGCGTGTTATAGAAAACAGTTAAGATGGGGAAAAAGAAGATAACAACCGTCCCCTGGATGACTCCTGTGTCATTTTATGCAAAGCGACTCCGAATATCAAACAGATCACAATACAGACAAGATGGAGATGGGTGACATCTGGGATGGAAAGTCTCAGCGGAGACGACAAAACGTAATTCTGTAAGAAGAGGACAAAAGACAGTCCAGCAGGGAGTAGTGAAGCTAGGGATGGCAGCTCGGTCAGGGGGCTGGCAACAAGACGGCATGGGGTCGGTGAGTGTCCGCACAAGCAAGCAATCGTCTGCTGTTGGCCGACAATATCTGGCAGTCTGCATTCTGTCTCTACCAGAACAATCTGTCTCTGTTCTCAGGTAAGTACGTTTCTTTATATTTTGCAGATTTCATCCACTTAATTCTTTTTTATTCAAGTTTTTTTTAAGAGTTAACGGTTTAAACTCTGTTTGTAACGGTATTTCCGAGGTTTAGATTGATATTTCGGGATAAATGCAAGCTTTCTTTCTGATTTTAGTGAGATGTGTCTATATAACACTCGAAAAATCGGTAACTCAAGTAGAATATTTAATGTAGTTCCTTTTACTTTTAACTGAAAAAAGAAACTAAGTTACAAATATAAACGTTTATAAATCATGATTTTTTTTCCTATTATTAATTTTAAATCAAACTTTATTTAACTAAAATAAATATGGTAGATGGAGATGGCAGAGAGCTCTTTCAGAAATTCAACAGAAGTAGTGAGGTCTCAGACTTGACCTTATGAGGACGCCAGCCTGTTCTAGAGTAACATAAATCAGGGATATCATAAAGCATTTCAGCTGCTGTTTAGATGATTTTACGCGATTAAAATTTGATGAATGAATTCAAAATCATTCTCTCTCTTCTGTCTCATACGATAGTTCTGGCTCTATTCGAAACAGTAAAGAGCTGCTTCCATATTTAATCATATACGATAATATTTTTCAGCTGTCTTCCTTGCATATTATATATATCTTACATAATTTATTAGAGTTTTTTTTATTTTAAGTTTGCTGATTTCAAACATTCCATAAATAATGTAAAAGTTAAATATTTCTGCGCTTTTATTTAATGTATCGTTCGCTATACGTCTTATGTTACTTATGTAATGAGGTTTTAATTAAGACGACAGGCCTGTATCTTATAATTATATTGAAAAATGATAAGTGGCTTTATTAAAAGCACTTCATCGATTGTTATAATTGATTAAGGCCGATTTTATCTTTAGAAGCGGAATGGTAAACAATGGCGAATGGTAAGAGAAATACGGCCGGTTTTCGACGCAGTCTTTCTCTTACAAATAAACTGCACTGACACCTCTGCCGTACATCTCGCAAAGTGATGACATGATTTCAAACTTGCACGTTAACAAGCCGCAACACCTGGCAATGTTGCAGATGATTCCCTCCCCCGACAATAGCAGCCAACGGATGGCGATTCAGCAAAAACACGTGCACGGGATAAAATATACTGCTTGCACATGGAAGGAAATATACGAACGAGGTCAGCCTTGTTAACTGTAACTGTTCGCAACGGATGCTTCTCTCGTTTTGCCCATCTAAATGAAGCGAAGGTAAGTATTTGACTTATTCGTTTATAATAATGATAGCGCGAGGGAGTCAATGGCTTCCAGTCATGTTTATTCCGGTACCAGTCTAGAATATTTTAATATAATCTATTTTAATTATTTAAACGTCGTCTATGTGTCATTTTGGAAACGAATTAATTTAGCAGTCGACTGGGAGTGCCTAAGGTCTAGAGATTCAAAAAAAAAGTTTGATGGGTGAGGGACGGCAGACTTATCCCCGGGTAGTTTGGCCTGTGACCCCTACCAAAATCACTGTGACCGGACCTCATTCCTCTACAGGTCCCACCCTGTCTCATCTCTCTTCCCATTCATGTTCTCAATAAAGCCAGTCGCGGAACTAGACTGCCATCAATTAGCAGCGAGGTGACAAGTGTCCTGGTCCAACGGCCACAATACTCCCCCGTGTCAAATAGTTTCTATGGGCTCAATTATAACTCCCTCCGTACGGTTCGTTCCGTAAACCTCTATTCATCCGGCTTAATCCCCACACTCTATTCTAACTCCATAGATCATTGGAGATTCTGTATTATTCTGTGGCTATAGAACGTAGCGTGTAAATGCCTCTTCACACCGGGTTGGGTTGAAGAGCGCGGGAAACTTTTGTCGCCGGCATCTGTTTTCCTAGATCTTGACTCGGGCAAACACCGAACATGTTCGCCTGTTGTTACATCCACTAATACTGGTAAGCTAGTGCGGCCCCTTCCAGAGATGTTGTCAGCTGTGTACACAAAACTGTCGAATAACATCTTTCGGTGTCATTCTAATAGTGATTCGAAGGACAAACATAATAGAGGAACAATCTCGCGTCTTGTTTTTATTAGTACCTGATTATTCGGAAACCAATCCCTCGCAAAAAGCAAATATTTTTCCTTTAAACTCCAGTTAAACACTAGTCAGACTTTACTTCTTCACTTCCAATATTTTATTTCATTTACCTCGTTTTGCTACTAGTAAGGCCTCGCAGATCTTTGTTTATTGTAAATGAAAGCCAAGCAATCAGCATAAGTAATATATCGCTGAAATGTAATGGATAGTACGAAGTTTGGAGTAAAGTTGCGATATAATGATGGATGTTAATTACCTGTCACTTGCACTTGGATACACAACTATACAGTTGTAACCAATGATATTACTTGTCCAGATAAATTCAAAATTATTTTAAAGTACACAATTCTTATACAGATTCATTTCTTTCGTTTCTCTTACCAGGCAAACAAAATAAATATACAATTGCGTTTTGTTAAGTTTATTCAATAAATTCTCGTGTACAGGAAAAAATAATCCATTTTCCTATATAAAAAATTCATCATTTCGAATCTTAATTTCTATTTTCTAAAATGAGTCTGGAAATCGGTGATTAATACGGATAAATCTATAAAAACGTGTATATTAAAAGAGACGGTGCTACATCTTATTTATTTATTTATTTTGAAAGAAGAAAAAAAGGCGATGTCTCGTAGATAATAACCTCCCCCGGTACAACAATTAGACAACATAACGAATTTTAAAAGGGTTTATGATTCGACTTGGCTGTGAAAAATTGTGAAAATTCCAAATTTATTAATCGAAGCGAATCGTTTAATAAAATAGGCTTTAAAAAATATTAAGTTTAAATTTATCAAAAAGAAGTAATGGTTGATTCTTCCGGAAACATTTCTGCTACATCAACGGCATTGTATAGCTTCTATAGTGTCTGACGGCCGTTGGTTCCGTCTGCAACGGTCGACCACTACAATAGAGCTGCACGTGTCTAGCGAGTCTGTTCTTCCACCAAAATTTATTGTTAGCTCGATACCATGTCATACTGAATCATTTTGGTAGTTGAAAAGATCCGAATAATCGTCAAAAGACTTCTCAGTGTTATCGCTGGAAGCATCACCACCGGAGGACATTGATCATGGAGGGATCAGATCTGCTAACGATAGCTGCTCTTCTCCATACACAACCATCCCACTCCAGACTCCATAATACTATATTTTTTCACAAATTTAACAATACCTTTTAATTATCGTTATTCTGTACAAATAAGTATGAATACTAGTAGTTAGATTCGATCAGATAGTGAGTTTTAGTATTCAGTACGCGCTCGTTTGTTCCGGCTTCTGTTACGTCCGGTCGAAAATGGATAATACATTCTTGGTGTATCGAAACGCTTCGTAATAAAAAAAAAAGTAACATACATACACACATTCTGGAAATATGTCGTCTAGAGAAAATTCTCGTATATCTAACAGGGAACCAGACAGACACGAAAACTCCACCTCCTTAACGAAAGTAACACCTGTATTTACAGTCGAGGTTTAGACGCCAGGATCAGAGGTCAGAGGGATGGCCACACTTTTTACTATCTGACAGGTGTGAGTCGTAAAGAAAGGATCAAGTCGAAAGTTCATGGTCTCTCTGGCTATAAAGGGGTTTCCTAGAATCTCGAAAGTAAACGCACCTTTCTGATAAAACTCGACTTTTAAAAAATCCTAACAGGCGAGACTCGAATTCGGAGTTATATGAGATATACAACTCAGACTATTTATGAAGATTTTCTTTCTATCCGGTTATGTCATCTTCCAGTACAAAACTCGTTTACGTGACGGAACCTAAATCTGATTTCTCGTCACGTTCCGTTGGCACAAACTTTGTCCTGTCAAGTAAGTTTACTTAAAGGCTATATATATTTCTCAACTTTCGCTGGATCGTACAATAAATAAGAAATATGAGGAATATTTTCTTTTAAATAACTCGATTTTATATATATACGTTTTATATACGTTACATTATATTATTCATTATCTGATTATCTAGAAAGAAAGTATTAAAAAATGTTTACAGAAATTCAAGAATGTTAAAGATTTTATTATTTAATAAATAATTAAAATAAAAAAGAAAATAAACAATATATATATTAATTCTTCTTTCTGTCTATCTCGACCAAAAGAAATTACAATTTGGGCGGGTGAAAATTCATAAAACTGTCTACAAGATTGTTTATAAACAGTTTTGTGAGATTTACATCATTCCTATTTCCTTAAAGTGACCATCTCGGAGAGTTGTTTTCGGACTTCGCAACGACACGTGCTAACAGCCTACGTGACGCAATCCAGGCCCTCTTCCAAGACATGTCACAAGTGAGTGACATACTGATGTTGGTGTTTAGTAATTCCGCTCGTAAACTACTGCAGTCAGTGACTTAAGACAGAGAAGGCTTGCATTCTTCTACATCAAAATACAACATTGGAAAGAGAACAAACTTAGAACACAAAGGTTTTTCAATACTACAGAAAAGTATCCGATTGCCACGTCTACTTATCAAATAATATATCTCTTGTATATTTTCCAATATGACCGCAACTTCGATCGAACATCAAAAAAAATAGACGAAGTTATTTACAATTTTTGTTTTTTATTTTTATTAAATAATAACTTAGAATATTTGTATTATTAAATTACACTTTCATTAGTGATCACACAAGCAAATGTACAAAATCAATTAAGATATAGGCCTATTAATTTAGTGACTAAAATGAGACTTTTATGTTATGAATTGAGAGTTTATGCAAAAAATAGAACTGTAAATGAGAAATTTCAGTTTGTTTAACACAATTTTCTACATACATTAGCAACTAATATTGATTTTTTTCCCTGCGTAATATGTTATTTTAAATACCGAGTCAAAACTCGGAGAAAAATGTTGCTTTTAATTGCATCTTTAACTCTCTTAGAAAAGGATAAATTGCCCACTTCTATCTCTCCCTTAACGTATACGTTTTTGAGAAGCACAATAAACAATTGCTTAGAACCATACTAAGATAAATGTTGAACAAAACATACCAAATTGCACAAGCCTATAAACAGTAGAAAGTTTTCATTTATAGGGCGAATAAGAGATCTAATTCGATAGTTACATAGTTTAGTTTTAGAAATTATGAAAAATTAACCTTTCAAATTTCTTATCCGTAGCTTATTTGTGGCAGGACTCTCAAAATTCTTTACCTGTAATATCTGAAATAATTGTGCTTACGCTGTCTTAATTTTTAACCATACACAGTAACTTCTTAACGCCAAGTTGTGCAAATTGGGCAAGGATACAAACGACTACGAAGTCTGCAAGTATGAAGTTTATCTTCATAAACCTTGATTATTAAAGACAAACGAACTGCCGAATTATTTGGCTATGATTATATCATTTGATTTCATGATATTTTGTATATCTTAAAAATAATTAATTCTGTCCCGGGAAACAGTTCACTTTTATCCCGGAATCCCGGGACAAGCAAAAAGACCGGAAAATGAGAAATCCTAGTGACAAGAAAAAAGTTATTTTAAAATCTCAAAGTTAAAATTAAAAGAGGAGCTTATTACATCAAGACGAAAAGGAATACAATAGTTAAATGACAAACTCAAATATTCTACAATAACTTTATGAGTTTGGTCATTTAGTGATTGTAATCCTTCTCGTTTCTATGCAATAAGTACTTTTAATTATAGCCGTAATTGTAGACTAACCGTTTAACTTTAGGGCTACAAGCAACGTTGTTTATCAGGTCATCTTCAATACAATCGTTATGCACGTGTTAATAAAAGATATTAATTAATTAAGCATTTTTACTCTTTGAGTTAAGCATCATCTTAGGCATCTGATCCCTACGATATTGGAGGTATTCGAATTTATTTGTTATAACTCGATATTTGAGAACTTGAATCTGGAAAACTTTGGAGTATTCGCCCATCCCTAGTATTTATATTAGATTCACTGTAACAGCAACAAGGGAAGACAAAATTGCGGTCGATGAATTCGAATAGACGCAATTGTTAGTCATTCTTCTTCGTTGTAGAAACTGTCAGCGGGTTTATGACATCTGCAGTAATGTGGTTGGCGGATATCCAAATTAAACGACGGTCGTGCTTCACGTTTAAATGCATGGTGCAATATTATCAATAAGAATACGATTTCCCTCGGGCTGTTATGGAAACAATTCGAATAAATAACACGTCTGCTATAATTCTAACGTTGTTGCTGTTGTTGTTACATAATTTATATACGGTTATAAAAAAGTACGAGCTTAGATTTTAAGGATGGTAACGCTTAAAAGTTTTATTCTAACATTTACATAAATTATTTTCAGAATGGCTTTAAACGACCATCTTAATTTATGTCAAGCTGGATGAATAGATGGGCGAGTGGGTGCCAACCTAGACCTATCTCAGGTAAGTGTAAAAAGTTAGCTACTATTTCGGTAATGCCCCGCCTTTAACTCCAGCTCATGCCCTAAAAATCTGAACACCATCTGGTGTTAGAGTTTCTCTAGACAGAAGACGGGGATGGCCACGCCAATAGACACACATCAGCTCCGCACAAAAGAAGCAGCAGTTGGCCATTGACTACGCTAAACAATACTCTAGATTGCTTGGGTGGCCGTTTACCGCTCTCAATGAGAGAAATTCCCTATTTATGCTAAAAATGCGTACAATGCGTAATTGTACAAACAGCAATAGAAACTTTAAACATGCCGTGTTAATCAAAAAATAAATAAATAAATAAATAAATGATATATTAGCGGAGAAAGGAGTTTATAATTCGAATCCCAGAACTCGTAGCACGATGCCAATCGAAATTTTGACATTTTTGATATAAATGTCACGTTTTGACGTGGGTTACCGTGATGTTCAGCACTATAAAACGTCACTATGACAACTACTACGTTTTGTAACGACAAGTTGATTGCGGGGTTCAGCAATTTCCTGACATAGATGCCAAAGGAATATTAAAATTTTTTACTTTTTAACCAACAATATAACAATTTGTTTCGATATTTTCTAAAGTAAGCACAAATCTTCAAGATTTAGTCATAAAAGCATTTAAAAATAATAATCACTAATCAAGTAAAATTTCTCCTCGAAATACTTCCAATTAATTACATTTATTTATATTATATAAGCCTACTTTTTATGAATTTTATTTTATATATTAAGCCCTAATAAGCTCACACTAATAATTCATGAAAAAATTTATTATGCTATTTAGTAATCTTTTTTTTTTTACTGCATATAACACGTTTTCACAACAAAAATGGCGCATTTTACAGTCTTCGTGTGAAAAAGGCCAAGTCTTAAAATGTTTATATAGATTTTTATCTGTCTGTTTTCATATATAAATAATAATCACACAGTGAAATGATATTATTATCTCAGCGGGACCACCTCTTTGTTTTACATCTTAATTCTTATCAGTAGATCTATAAGTAAATTTAATTTTATAACAAGATTTAAAGATATGATAGTAATTAAAATAGTCTATATCAATTAAAAATAATAGAAATATTTATCGATATAAAAGCATCTATGGATTTTATACCATTTACTTAAAAAATCAGACTAACTTGGGTCTGTTATCTTTCTAATTCTATGTTGACTTTCAATAGTGTAAAAGAGAAGCCATTGAAGTGAGACCAAACACCGATAGATAAGATCTTTCTATTGGAACTTTGGCTCGGAGCATTGTGGACTATCCACTGTTTCATTGACTGCCACAATGACAAGCTGTGATCCAGACAACTTGTCTCCTACCTTAAGCGGTCCAACAATGGGCAAACCAAAAGAGATGATCCTCAATAAACAACACCATTTTTCATACAAGTAATGTAAAACTCAATTTTTTTAAAAAAATGTAATGTTAAAATTCCAAGCAAGTTTTTATTTTTCGTATAGGTCTTCCTATATTTAAAATTATACGTAGTCTATTCTTTTTTTCTTATCATCATAAAATATCATTGTTTATATGCTATCTCTTCTATAAAAATATTCATTTAATTACTTTTCTTCTAGAAATCTTTCATCTTTCCATAAGTAACACTTTACAGAACAAATAAAAACTAGTTTTACTCGGATTGTCCGGTTATTCTTGTTTTTTTTAAAGAGAATAGTCTTGTTTCTAGATAATTACTTTGTAATGAATTTAAGAAAAAAATTATAAATGATTAGAACTATTAAAAAATTATATAAAGTCTACTTTATATTACATATACCTTATATAAAGAAGTTTCTAAATTCGATTTTAATAATTTTCATTATAAAATATTAATTAAATTAACGAAAAAGGCCAATTATTCTAACCATCCGAGGCGTTCGCAACTAATCTGAATCCATTCAGAAAAAAAAAATGCAATTCAGTTAACCTAACATTCACATGTTGATTAATTTATGAGTATTTTACATCTAGATAATCCTAATTAGAATTTTTTTACAGCCTTCCATATGTGCTGTCATGTTTATTAATCGCTTGATAAACTATTAACGGGAAATAATATTCTAGTTTGATCCACAATCTTAAATAAAACTAAAAAAAAAACTTATAATATATCACTGTCATACGATTAATTTGTATAAATAATTCTTTAGTTTCGATAATATTAATGAAAGAGATCTCTTGATAGATTTTTATAGTTCTATTTTGCATTCCTCCATTGCAATCGGGTTGTTACAACAGTTGAATTCAAATTTATTCCATTAGTGCATTCGGTTTAGATTATTATTAGCATAATACATATCAAAACCTATCTTTTCCTCCCCTTTCTTCCAGATTAGTTTGAATTTAACAACGTTATAAGTAAAGCTCCGAATTTGGCAGTAACATGATTTTTGAACGATGGCCAACTTTAGGATTTAAATCAAACTCTCTCAAAGATAGAGCTAATGAAAATAAACACAACCGTCAAGTTTTGCTACTTTATAGACCTATCGACCTATACAACTACTTGGAAGAAGATTTATAGATGTTCTAGTACCGACTTCTGCAGGAAAATAAACGCCCGCACCGCTTAATACAGAATAAAGCCGTAAGAACAGCCGGAACTAGAAAAAAAAAAGTAATAATAATAAATGATTTATTAATGAAGATAAATGGATAAAAATACGAATTTTGTAATCTATACGAAATTGAGATCTTCATTTACCTATTAAATTATATTATAAAATGAAGACAATTAGCGGATTTTGAAATATCCTGAATATTTCCATGTTTCTATTACAAATGTCTACATTATTTGAATTTTTGCAATATCCTTTTTTTGTTATACAATCGGATATAAAACTAGTTTCCCCGTAGCTTTATCCTGTTTACGGATTTTTCAATTTGTTTTATATATTAAAAACTTTTCCATCCACACGTTATAGATTTAAGAACGAGCTATTTTATAAGTTAGGACGAGGAACGTAATATATGTTTTTTTATGAGCGACGAAGCAACAATTATCTCAGTCAATTTTCATCAATATTGCAATGTCACGAAGCAGTATCCATCCGACGGGAAAATTGCTATAAATGTTACGAATAATAAAATTTTTGGTACCTGACTGCAATAACAGGTTTACTTTATGCTTACAAATAAGTACAGATAGGATCATAAAGTAGAACCAATAGAAAATAAGTAGTCCTTTTTAAAATACCGACTAATTTCTTCTTTTCATTATCACCGATAAAATTGATGTAAGTTTTATTTAGTCCTTAGAAAAATAGAAAATGACGACGTTTTTGTTCACTGCCGCAGTCGGTGGGGAGGTGCCAAACTATTGACAATGACAACCCACTGTTTCGGTAGGACTTTCAGAGCACATTCTTGAAAATTGGTTGCGGATGTCCCGCAGATCGTTTACAATCGACTTTTAGGGCTGGAAGGATTCCGAAGGGTAGTTTACTTTCAGCCATAACCTCGGATAAAAGAAAGACGTAGTGTTCAGTTAGGATGTGGTCATTCTTTACAGTAGGCTCTCTATTTTGCTCTTTTACTTTACAGAAAACTGTGACAAAATTGCGGCTTTTACTCCAATACTCATTTGTTCGGGTTTGGTTGCATCAATATTGCATTTTAAAATACAGTAGAGAGGTTACGACCGAAGTTTTCATCTTTAAAACGTGAACGTCGAACGTCGAGCGCCGCTATCTTGTAAAGCGGCGCTCGACGTTCGACGTTCACGTTTTACAGATGAAAACTTCGGCCTTAACCTCGTATTTCGTATTCGGCGTATTTAATCACTTTTCCTTTGAAGAATTTCGCATATTTATGCAAATGAATTTAGCTTAGAAGTAAATATGCAAGTATTTCTTATTAAAAAGTATTTACGACCTATCTACATATACATACCGACTATTGCAAATCATTAAAATAATTTTAATATGGTAGGCTAATTATAGTTAGTCTTATTTCTATTGGAATATCCTATTAAATATTTCATTCTTCTAAATTTTTATTATAATTTTAAAATTGTTTAAGCTTAAATATAAATTCAAAACAATTTATTTTATTTTATTTTAGGCGGAACTGTTCGGAGTGAATTATTGAATCTTTAGTACATCATATAAAAAATGGTAAGTGAATTTAATGTAACAAGCATGAAGCATTTTCTATTGGTAAATTTAGACTAGAAAGTCCCTACAAAATTGGTAAATTTCCTCAATCTGCTTCTTAAATGGTCGACTGCCATTTTTTATTATCTGTTAATAGAGTCGATCTTCCTATCCATTTAATAGTGCTATAGGGCTTCCGGACGACTACTTCTTCCGTTCATCCCTCGATAAACATAATTAGAGTGCATTATATTCGTTGCCACAAAAGGGATTTCACGGCTTATTGACTGGAAAGACTTTAATCTGTCCCGACTCGCGACGGAATCGACCGCCAATAGTTTCAATTGTTAAGAGGAATACATCTGCCGCAAAAATTCTCATCAAAATTTACTTTTAAAAACTGAAAAGATTTTCATTCTCCTTGCTAAAGGATGCGATTAACTGAAAAGGCGCTGAAACACTATCGGGATCGATGGCAAGAGATGCCTGAAGTTAACTGAGTTAGCGTGAATAAAACCGTTGGCGGATATCTTTAATTATTTATTGTAAACTATTAAACTTTTATAAAACATTTTTTGAGGCATTTTAAATGGCTGAATAACTTAAGATATGATTCTGAATGGTCGTTGAATGCAATATAATAAGATTTAGAATGACTTTTCAACTGAAGAGTAATCGAATGACGATGAAGCAATTTTTTGACAATGAAAGCGGGAATTAGTTTCACATTTTCAAATGAGACATTCAATTAGATGCAAAGGAGAAGGGAGCTGCATCTGACCAGCCGAAAACAGGTGGACTACTTAGTTCCGGCTTAGCCAGGAGTTGTCAGTAGGGAACAAACGAAATTTCCTTGTACTCGATGATGAACGATATCACCCGGAGTGGTGCATGAGAAACCTATTCAGCACACAAGATCGAATTGCCATTGCGGCCGCTAATGCAATCGAACACCCGGGGTGACTCAACAATTGACACTTCCGAACGCACCGAATGGCAACCACGCGCCATTTCTTCCAGGTGTGGTCTGCTAAGCACATTTCTTCTCTAATCCCTTCATCAACAACATCTTGGACAGCTACCACCCTCTTTTGACCTCCGCCTAGACCAGCTGATTGGTTTCTCTCTGATCACTTTCTGGATGTAGAATGGGGATTGGTCAGTGAAATGTTTGCCCGCAGCTGATTCTCAGCAGGATAACGATTGATGTGCACGCCAAATATAATGAATGGATCGCTTCGTCTCTGGTTTTATTAATTTGTCATTGCCATCCATAGTTCACTGCTGTTCCGAGGCATTTTCGCGTCCGGCTCCAAAGAAACCACATTGAATGTATTTCCATCTCTGCTCTCCTTTCTTCCTTATTAAAACAATTATAGCTTTATGCAATGTGACATTAACTCTATTACAAAATAAACAAGTGACCAGTTGATTTACGGCGTTGTTTAGGGAGTAGTGCAGGTCGAGATCTATTCTCTGATATGTAGTTGCTCCAGGGAAGAAGACACGTAAATTTTTTTCTTTTCAGTACACGTATCGAAAAACAGAGCTTCATTTTTCTCCGAACTGATATGAAGTCATACATGAATGAGATACTGAAAATACACGTTCTATATTAAATATGTTAGCTAGTGACTAAGAAAATCTACCCAGCTTTTGGACCACCTACAGACCTGCTTGAATATAAGAACACGAAGTGGCAGGTCATAAGGCCTCGGAATCCCTTTCTTAATCTTTTCTCCCGCCCTGATATACGGTTTATTCGGGGTGGTCATTGAAAGCGCTTTATAGCTTCATATTATATATATAATATAGTCCAGAAAGAGGGCCTTAGCTTACGTGAGAAGCATTCGATATAGTACTGCCCTTGAAAGTTAGATTAATTTGAACGTAAAACAATAAGTACCGATTTTTTTTTCCTTCTAGTGGAGAAAATCTTAGTCGTAAATTATAAGCCTTGTGAGTGGATTACTGTATACTGTAATTCAATAGTTTATCTTTGAAAATAATTTAATCAGTTTGCATTTTTATTAATAATGTAAAATGTTTTAATTCGTATACCAGAGTTCGTATTAGAGTAAAAATTAAGTAAAGGAGCTAATCAGAGGTTAAAAAAACATTAAATTGTAACTGCTTCCTTGCTATTAAATATCAACACATCTTCACATAATCTACAGATATAATGATGATGTGTTTTTCTTTAAAATTTCTCGAATTACGTTAACAGTTTTAATCTTTAATAGTGGAAAATTATGAAAGAATTAACATTGGGAAAGAGCAAGATTACATGAAAGCATGCAATCTTCTTTCCGCCTATTAAGCATTTCGTCGATTTCCTTTCAGGCGACATTTTACATTCTTCTTTTCCAATAAATTTCCACCTCGGAAATCGTTAACGGGGAATAAAACGATCGCCCCACCTTTCCAGCTGTGCGAGATATTTCCTCATATGAGAAGTTTTCTTTCCTCTCAAAATTTGACTCTGTTTGTTCGCCTTTGTATACTTTGTGTTGTAGATTGTGCAGCTCTGCGTGGTCCCATCGAGTCGGGACCGAACAATGCATCTCGAATAAGGAAGGCAGAAATGATTGCTTGCTTCCAATACTCTTTAATTTGTAAGAGCCACGATATTTATATAATAATTACAGTTTTTTAAATGTCTCTTTAATTCGGAATAAAGCCGAAAGAGTTGAGATATTACAAAAGCTATCTATTAGATTCCTTAAACGTGATCGAAATGTAATTAATAATAAAAGATGCGTGTCGCGAATGTTTTAGTCTTTTTGTTTCATAATAGTTATTAGATGGCCTTTGAGGTCTATGTCTTTCTTCTTCTGTCCTCTGATTTGACGAGAGGTTGGAAATCTGTCACAACGATCCGCCCTGTCTCCCCGCTGTTGATTGATAGAATATCTCCCCTCTAAGAGTTCTTAGATAACTCTGCCTCATGAAAATAACTTATGCATGTTTGCAATACATTACTAAATGGATATCAATGAATTTTTGTCTATATGTCAAAAACTTTTAAAACGAAAAAGGAGAGGAGAAAACTGATAGAAATGATTAATGATAGGATTACGTGTTTAATCACGACAATCTGATGGATGGAAAAAATAAAAAAAATTAGCTCTGCCCAAGATTTATTTCAGTGGGTTAGAGTTAAAAGAGCAACTTTCTTTAAGCATATTAAATAATTCAATGTTACCTATAGCAATTGCTTTTATTATTTTCGTTGAACAATATTTATGCTCATTAAATAATTCTTTGTGGAACAGTCCGTCAGAATCTCGGGTGGTGATCCAAGCGTGTCATGCAGGCAAATATTGTATATGGCAGCGTCAAGTGGAACTATCTCCACCCTAAATGCATCTGCATCCCTGTCAATAGTTCCCACTTCATTGAATTTCCGAGAAAATCAACAGTTGCTTCAGTGACCGAATGGGGGTGAACAAATATTGTCACCGTACGCTCTTTCACGGCCTTAACGTGGTAGAGGGGATGGGAGAGACCGAGAAAACTGGTACTTTGCCGCTGAATGCAAGGTCAGCCCCAATAGACGCACTGAGGTAGGGACCGAGTGGCAACAAGAAGTAGAAAGAAAGACCCACGGCAGTGTTTCCACTCCATTTAAATTTAGGGCGATTTTTCAGGGTCTGTTGGCCGGGGAGAATGCATCAGTGCGGAGTATACTATGCTATAGTGTGCCTTCTAGGACAATAGTGCGCGGAACGCGCACACCGGGGTCGTCCTCTTCTATCCTGGTGGGGGAAGAGGACAATGGGCCAGGATTTCACACAAGGAACCCAGGTCGTTGAAAAGCCGTCGAGAACACGTTGAAGGATGGGACTCCATGTTATTTCTCCGGCTACAGCTATTTCTGCCCCCGCTGTGGGTCACAGAATAGCCGTTTGCTGCCCTTTCTCTAATATCACTTGCCTCTTTCGTCGATTGTGACCGGTAAACACTTCGGGATGTTTCCCTCGGCTCGTGCCATAAACTCACCGGGAGCAGATATTATTGGGTGACAGTTGTCACGTGGAGAATATTATCGCTGTAGTTGCTCACATAGGACACTTGCCATTACCGAAGTTTTGCATTAAAAGGCTGCCTCCGATATGATATCGCTAACTTTTCTACGTATCTGCTTTTTACATCGCCTTTTAAAATAAATAAGCGCAAACCTTTTCAACATCTGTTTTCAAATACGATCAATTAAAAATGTAAACGATATTATACGTATTTTATAAATTCTACAAAATATATATAATAGCTTATAAAATCAACGAAACTTATAGAAATGTGATATGTTTAATGCCAGTCTTAGAGGATGACCCTCCCCCTCTGGAGAAGTTCACTCCTCGTTAGCGTGGCTTATCCCAACCGAGAGTTATCTTATGGTCGCATTGATGCAGTTGGTTAGTAATGTGCAATTCTGTCAAAATACGATGTAATTGACATTTCGGAGAAACACTGAAACATTTTAGAAGCGTAGAGAGGAGAAAGGCTGCCACTTGATCACCTCACCTGTCAGTTTGTTTGACGCAGAGGCTCTGCTGTGTTTACCCGCCTCAGTTAACGTTGGGGATCAGGTTCGACTGTCTCTAGTTTTACGAGGAACAGTTAAAACTGTTTATTTTGGGAAATAAGTATTGAGGGGGATTTTGCTTGTCATTCGAGCGATTGTAAGACAACAGTCGACAATAAGCGACATCCGGCTGATAAAAATTTCCTAGATATTGATAGATGACTGTCGTGTGAATAAAAGAAAACTTCTAATTCCTCTGTTGCAGTTTAACATTCTAACGATACTTAAATAATTTAAATAGCATTAATATATTAATTTGTATTAGTTATTAAAATCTTGATGCAACGACATGAAAATTGCAGCTTAATTTAAGTACTAAAGTTGTTAGTCATATCTGCTTATATTTTAATATAAAAACGGTTTTATAAATGATAGATTGTTATACGAATAAAATAAATTTGCTTCCTATCTAGAAGAACATTTACTTTATAATTTCATTATATTTTCAGATAAATGCATAAAAGAAGACTGGCTCTCGAAGCGATGTATATGCTTGTATTTATTTATGAGAAAATTCGCAGTTCGTAGGAAATTTATCAATTCTCTATATGGAAGTGCATTCGTCACTAAACTGACCAAAAGGAGACTGCATCAGACACGCCTTCAGGCAGGCGGGGGTGGAGCAACTTCAGTTTGAAGTCCTCCATTGGGTTATGGTTGCTTAGCAACCGACATCCATAAGAGGAGGAGGAGATCTTACAAACATTTTATGGAACCGTAAAATGAAAAATATTTATTGCTCAACGAGTTACACAAAGTCTATTTTACATCCGATGGCATAAAATAGCTATTTTGAAAGTGGAGTCGAGTCGCGCATACCGTTCGTGTGTTGTTTCTTTTCCGTCTCAGCAAGACACTATACGAAACATAAAGAACTTGTTGAACGAATCCGACTTTGAGTAGTTGATGCGGAAACACAAGCTTCCAGACAGAAATCGATCAAGGAAATCTTTTACTCTTCGTAACATTAATTATCGTATAACATAAATATACTCGACAACATCAACATATAAATTATAGTAATTTAATTAATAAAGAGTGGCTTTATATCTACAGAATTTACATTTTTCTATTTAGATATGGAAAGATTCTAAACTTATAACCTTGTACTGTAGATATAAATTTTTCTTCAGATGAATAATGAACCACTTAGAGTAAGTAAACAACTTCCATTGTTCTAAGAAAAGAAGTCATCAATCGATATATAATTGCATGTAAATGTACAATTAGAAATTGATAAAAGCGGAAGAACCAATGAATTCTCCATTATCGATTCATATTTACATTAATAAGGACTCGAAAGTTCTATTAAGTGTCCAATGTAGTGATGAAGTAAATAAACTTATACGAAATTTGACCATTTTTTCATCTTTATCAAAATTTTTACGTATATTTTATGCTTACTTTATAACAGTTTTTAATAGTCAGTATCATTAATCTATTTATATAATTCCTTATTAATACAGGACCAGACTAATTAATTAAGTTTCAGTATAAGAAATATTTTCATCGAAAACTGTAGGCTTGTAGCTAGATATAAATTAAAGATAAAGAAACTAAATACGGATATTTTTTTTAATAATAATTAAAATAAATTATCTTAAACATTAATCTATTTGTTCATACATATGCAAGAATAGAATTTCCATAAGAATAATGTATTTTCAGTATTAATAAAGATAAATTTTGACTTAAGAATTTAATTTAAATCCAAAACAATAACTAAATAAGATAAGAAACAGAAATAATAGATTAAATTTCGGGTCCAAAATAGAATCAATGATAGAAGATGATGTCGTTTAGATAGGGTCTTGGATTTTATCCAAGAATTTTGCAAAAAATTTTTAAGTTTATATATAAATAACAGGCATAGATCCTCTATGAAATTAGTAGTTTAAATAAGAAGTTTAAGTGAGAATATTTTATAAAAAAAATAATCTCATATAAGTCTTAAATATGAAATTTGAGCATTTAAAACTTTAAAAATTAACTGTAATCTCAATGAATAAATATATATATTTTTAAAGTATTAAGTTATATATATAGGCCCTATATAAGGCTATATAAAATAAGAACAATAATATATCCAGGTATTTAAAATTGTTCAAATCTACTTGTTAGGAGACATTCTAAAATATTATGCTGTCATTAATGTTTGAATTAATTATAATTTATTATCCTCTGAATTTTCTACTAAGGAAATATAAATAACGTGTAATTAGGATAATAGGAAACCTGTCATTTTTCCTATTCCAATAGGCCTAATATAGCAATTGAAAAATGAATTATGTCAAAAATTTCAATTATTAGTATAATAGCTTTGATTCAATTCTAACTCCATGTAATTTATTTAACTTATAGAAATATAACATTTATTATTTTAATACTGATAATATTTTTAATTTATTACAGTTTAGATTTATCACTTTTCATAGTAGAACCTATGAGAATTATATATAGGCCTATATATATAAAGTTTATTTTTCTAGTGAACTGTTTTCTATATTATTTAATTAAAATGTTACTTCTATACAGATCCTAGTTTGTTATAAGATAATTAGCTTTTTTCTTAAATATAAAAATAAGTTAATAATAGTGAAAAAACAAACTGTTATACAAATTAATTGACTCTTGAGAACATCCGTATAATATATCTTTTATCATTCGCTCTTATATTGTGAGATAATGAGGTGAACGACATGGGAACCTCAAATCGGAGATTAGGTGGACACACGGTGTCGATATTGTATAGAGCGCGTGCGACCAAATTCTATCTAAGATGGTATCGGAGATAGTTTCGCTTCGTTGCTCCTCCGGACAAGAATCGCTTTTAGATGAGAATATGTGAACGACCGAATTTTATCGTCTCCTTATTATTAAAAAAAAAAAAAAAGATCTTGAGAAAAGTTTATCCGTGTGATTTTTACATGGTCAAAAGGAAAACCTTTAGGGGGTGGCCTAACAAATCTACGTTAATTATTTACTAACAAGAACTTTTAATAAATAAGAGGTCGTTAGATAAAAAAAAAGACTATGAAGCTTATTAAAATGTCTTTTACGAAATTAGTTTATTAATAATAGATAGAATAAGAGTAACAGTAACCTATGAAAGTTTAGATGTATTTTTATTAAAAATAAATCAACATATTCTGCGTATTATATGTGTTTTACTGAGGTAGTAATTACCAAAATCATTTTTATAAAAAAACGCATTAACAGAATAACATTATCTTATATTGACCTACAATAATTTCATATTCCAAATCAATTTTAGATATTTTGCTTATTGAAAATAGTTTATTAAGTTTATAAACTAATTAAATCCTCTGCAAGCATTCAAAATACTTAATAATTTGTTGATTGTAACTTTAATATCATCCGATTGTTAGCAATAAAATAGAAAAATCTAATAGTAATCTGTAGAAATATATTTCATCTAGTTGATAAGTTTCTGTGTATAGGCCTAAAGCTTAATACTATTTTAACCCATTCATATATACTACCTACGATCTGAAAACAATTTTCTTCTGAATAAGAATATATTCTTTTTCATAGTCCATTTTAAACCCTAAAAATAATCATGTAACTAATGATACGGTACAGTAAACATCTTTCAGCAGGATATAGTTAGGTTTCCTCGTGATGTCAGTCAGAACACATGTCGAGATCCTCATGATATTCAATACACACCTCTCCTCAACATGTGGTTAGCGCTATGAAATCCCAGCTGCACATTTGCTGTACAGAATATTAATGAAGAAATAAACCTGGTTGTATCAATATTTGTGTTCGTGTAATTTTAATGGTGCGAAAATTATCGGATCCAAATATATTAATGATATATATAATTAGTTTTTCTTTAAAAAAAACTAATTAAAAAAGACAATTTATTCTATTATTTATAATTTAACTTATCATTATTATCTGTTCGAAATAAAAATAATATTTAATATGCAAATTTTCTGTTGAATTAATATAATTATAAAATAAATATGAGTTTAATTAGGATATTCCTGTTTTACATTTCACTTGTAAATATGTAAAATAATTATAAATAATTTACTTTATGTAATTTGTTAACGTTTTAAAATAATATAGTTACTTGAAAGTAATGTTAAATATCCAGTAAAGAATTATGTTGAGCTTTTAAGTTATAATAAAAATTCAAATATTGTATAGGATCCGTGACAATTTCTTTTAACTATTATCACTGAAAATTTTAAATTAAATAATGCAATGATTTAACATCTTCAAAATAGAGTTGTTTAATGAAAAGAGAGAGAAGAGATCCTCGTGTTCAGCAGGTTCACAGATGTGGACGAAGCTAGTTTTAAACATCTCTAAGTATCAATGAAATCCGATCACACTTTTTATGATATTTGGCTTTTATGATGATTAAGTTCTTAGTTCAAGGAAACGTTTTAAAAAGGAGAAATATCTCTCTTAGTTGATTATGACGGATGATAATTTCTCTAGTCTTAGTAAAATGCGATATGTTTTTAATACTTTCTTAGAAGTCACTACATTATGTAGTTCACAATAAGATCTTTAGTTTATTAAAGTTTATTATAACCATAGCTACTACTATTCTGTAATTTATTATAAATATTCAACATTTAATTTTAAAAATGATCTTGTAATAATCGTAATAAATAATGTTTTTTTAAGGCCTATAATTAAAACGGATTAATAGTATGAATGTTTAGAAGAAATAATGATTTTATATCATTTTTATAAACTGAGAGGATGTCTACTTTTTTTTAATAAATAATAGGCACTTAATTAAAATTTGATTGGGACGTGTTACGGTATCTTTTTCGCACATCCCCGTTTTTCATTAGGCCTCACATTTGTTTTATTAATGAACACTGTTAATACTGATACACGATGATAAAGCAAAAGATACACGAAAAAATACTAAGAGAAAGGTCATTATCATTTACAAAAAGTCTCTTCTAAACAATATAAACTGAATTAATTCGTTTCCTGTCTGATGAAGCGATACACCTACAGGAAACGTAATATTTCCATTTAATAAAACAATTAAATTCTAATAAATAAAAGAAAATTAACTGTAAAATATATATATATATACAAAGAAACATTTACGAAAATCAATATTTTCTTTACTAATTAAATTTATTAATGTAAATATTTCTAGGCATAGACTATATAGGCCTATATATATATTTTTTAATTAAAGTTGAGGCATAATGGGTTACTTAGATTTGAATTCGAACAGAATACACAAATTATTATATAGAATGAAACGTATAGGGACATTGACGAAATCGTTATAAAATAAATATAAAAAAAATACGAATAATATAAAATGAATTCAACGGTTATATAAGAAAATATAAGTACAATACAACGATGTCAAGTCTCCTTTTAATGCATTTTACACAACAGGGATCTCGGAAAAATCAAACAGATGTAAATCAAAGCGGGCCGTATTAATTATTATTCGTTAAACCGAAACATACTGTAAACTAAAGAAAGAAAGAAAAAAGCTCTAACAAAGGCCCTTTTTTTGCCAGGCCTTTACGACTCACGTAAACAGAAGTTTGAGTTTTTTCTCTTTTAATACCAGAAACGTTGAGTTTCAGAAAATAAATCATCAAAGTCGCGGGTCGGCCCGCGACCTTGATGATTTAAACTCAAGGACTTCATAACCGGGCCCGCGGGCCGCCATTTTGAGAACCCTGATTTACAGTATGTATTTCCATGGTTAGAATAAGCGTGTGGTTAATACAGAAGTTATTCTTGGTGTAGGCTATATGTTATATATATGGCTGACACCTCTGGTGTTTCCTTTTTGGTTTCTACTGTCGTTATATTATTTTTGCAGTAAATAAATTTTAGGAATAAAATGCGAAACATAAAGAAAAAAAATTAATAAATTGTTGTTGTATTTACTTTAGAAACTTATAATTACATCGCTGCTTATAGTAAATACATAAGCAACACTTTAAATGACGCCCAATTTTTCGATTGGCGGGCCAAATGCCGTGAATACAAACCACAAATATTTTATATATTGTAAATATATAGGTCTATAATAAGCCTACTTCTATCATTTATGAGGGATGCGACACATTATATACATATTATATATTTTTTAAATGTGTATATTGTCTAAAAAAATTAAATTTTTATTCGACTGAATAGCGAAATAAATTATTCTATTAGGTGAAATGTTACCGACAATATCTTAATTAAATGAACATCCCGATATTAGGTTCGTTCGTGTGAATCGGGTAATCATTTTTGTTTTTTTAAAGAGAAACTAATTGATAAATTCGCATTAGCTAAGTAGAAAAGATATTGACGTAATTATCTAGAAGAAAAAAGACGAAGTAGGCGGAAAAAATTAAAAATCATACTCGGTAGCAAAAATCAGTAGACCTAAACGGTAATTTTGGATCCTCTTCGCCCGTTTCGCCCACCAACAAGAGCGACACGTGACAGAGAGAACGTGTTTTGCCTGACAAATCGAAATCGGGCGAGTAAAAATGCAGGAAAATCGTTCGATTCGCTAAATTGTATCTTTTCGATTTATTACGGAATAAAAATTAACGAACGGCAGAAAGGTACCGGCAGCGCTTTTATTTTTATTAAAAAGATAAAAAGTATCCTTTCTCACATCTTCTTTTGGTAAGTTATTCCCCATCCAAACCACCGGAACTAAACACCAATTTACTCCCTCTCGTACATTCCGGCGTCTTGTCAGGCAGCCTAACCACAATGGATGACGACAATGAAACTCTGCACGATATCCATCCGAAGAAAGAAATCTGTCCTCCGGAGAAGATTCTTCGCCTGCATACCGCGCGTGGGATCGACAGCTCTAAACCCAATCCTAATGGCCAATAAAAACCAGTTCAAAGACGAACGTCTGGAGAATGACAGCTCATCAAAGACTTCTGTAGCTTGTGGAGCAGTTATAAAAGCCAGACGATCCACCGTTTACGACGTTCCTAA